ATGCCGACCTAAAATCCTATTTTATTATGGTCGGTTTGTATAATTTAGTTTGTATTATTTATAATTTATAATTTTACAAAAAAAAAAAACCTTTTTTTTTTTTTTGCTAGGTTGGCAAAAAAAAAAAAAAGGTTTTTTTTTTTCCTGTTACGATAGGGGTAATGATTAATTGATTATAAAAGGATTGCTTTATAATAGCATAGCTTCAGACAATAATATTTTAAAGAATGTAGCAATTAAATTTTGTGTAGTAAATTAAGTATAAAGCAAATTTATGAATAAGTGATTTTTTAGTTTTGAAGTTGTTGTTTTTTTTTACAAAAAAAAATGGTCATAGTTTATTTCTTACATTTTAATTGGTTTTTTAGATTGCTCATAGAAAGAACGTAGTTTAGAAATACAAATTTAGTTTATGTGCTGTAAGCAAAGATTTTGTTTAAAACAGCAAATTGTTTAACAAAATGAGAAGACAGTAAATATCCCGTTGTTTAACCTCTACAAGAAATTAGTATTTATTTCTCTATTAGTAGGGGTGGTGATTTTCAATATTTAATTGTAGTATAGTATGAACTTGTAATTATATGTAATTTGATGAAAGGAAAACAAAAGTTAAAAATACTAAAAATAGTTTTTTTTTTTTATATATAAACATTGTTTTGAGTTAGCTTACTGTATTACTGTTGTATCTGTTGCAATTTAATGGAAGCCAAAACTTTTATCAAATTAAAAAAAAGTTTTGTAACTAATGTTTCTTCTCCGCATGTTTCTAACATAACTATAACAAGGCAAAACTTTCCTAATATACTTTCTGATCTTAAATAATTCTTAAAAAAACGTAAACATGTAAATTATTTAATTAGTTAAATGGTTTTAAGTAAAAAAATAAATTAAAATTAAATTTTATATCTTAATAAAATAATAATTGCGTTTAAAAAGCGTGAGAACAACAGGCATTTAAAAAATTATATTTTTTAACTTTGCTATTTGAAAAAATGAATTGAAAAAAAATGAATATTTGTTTTAATAAAACATGTCAAACTTGAAAAGCAAGTAATTACAATAAAAAAATTATAAAATAATTTTTTAACAAATATTAGATATTTTTACATGTATTTCAATTTGCATGCCGACACTTTAAATATTCAGGTCAGCAGTTGTATGCCGCCCTAAAGCTAAAATAGGTCAACTTTTGAGTCAGCATTGCCGAATGCCGACCTGAATTTCGCTGACTGCATACATACATACATACATACATGTATATATATATATATATATATATATATATATATATATATATATATATATATATATATATATATATATATATATATATATATATATAATATATATATATATATATATATATATATATATACATATATTTGGGCAGCAATACTCCCCCGTCCCAGAGCAATTTATCAGAAATATTGCCAAAGATTGGCGTTTTTTCACAAAAAAAAACAATATTTGCCGTAAAAAAAAGTTCCACAATTTTTAATTTGGGCGGCGCCCAAATACAGTCGGCATTGCCAAAAATGGTTTATATATATATATATATATATATATATATATATATATATATATATATATATATATATATATATATATATATATATATATATATATAAATATATATATATATATATATATATATATATATATATATATATATATATATATATATATATATATATAAATATATATATATATATATATATATATATATATATATATATATATATATATATATATATATATAAATATATATAGTGATTTTGCCGGTTATCCGTTTCAAAAGCCGGATAACAGTTCCCATAAATTTGCGGTTAACCAACTATTCAGTATATTAGTGACGCTTTCTGAATACAGGATCTTCTAAATTTCAACATTTAAGACAGTTATTGAATACAGTCCTATATTATATATTTATAACAAAACATGGAAAAAGATATACATATTTTTTATATTATAATATAATATAAATAATATACCTTTTTATTTATATAATTAAAAAAGGTAGAAATAATGTACAAGTATAGTTTAAATGTTTTAATATCAGCGGATGTTTGAAATCATTCTCTCATATAAAAACATTTGATTTGGAAAAATGAGATATTATGAAGTTAAATTTTTTAGCTTGTATTTTAAAAACTTATTGTTATGCGGACATAGATGGAAACACAGATAAACTTGAATGTTCTCAAAACAACTTGTTGCGGAAAGAATATTTGCTAACACTAAAATACCGCCAAATCTACGTATAAACAAATTCTATTGGTTCAAAAAACACGCTGAATAAGCGAATTAGAGTTCCAGAATATTCTGAAGAAAATTTCTTAAAAATGTATTGCTTGAGTTGAAAAAGTAATAAATAAATCTTTGAGATTTCTATTGTAAATTGTTTTAGAATATATTATCAAACAAAACTGATTAAATTATTATTTAAATTAATAAAAGAAATTTGTTATAATCTTTGATAAATTAACATTTGTCAAACAATGGTCGCCATAATTACGTTGTTACTTTCTATAAAATTTCATAAAATTTTTAAGTCGGTTTTTATTATTCGAAAATAGATATTTGATATTCGAACAAAATCCGGTTAACCGCAAAACCGGATAACCGGCGAAATCACTATATATATATATATATATATATATATATATATATATATATATATATATATATATATTTATATATATATATATATTTTCCGCCTCGGCGTAAATAAATGAGAATGAGAGCAGAGAAAAGCTCTCCTAAAACGAACTTGGGGAGCTGTGCAAGCTGCTCCTCATTTAAGTCTGCACTCTTTTTTAATTTTAACTTTTTTTTTAAACAACTGTGCTTTTTAAAAACAATTGCAGTATATTATGCAATGAATTTTTTTAAAATAACATCATATTTTTTATTTCAGTTACAACAACAATTATGCTTTTGTGAGAAAAGGTTATACGAGAGCGGTAAATTACTCCCGTAAACCGTTTTAGGGGAATGTGGGCACTTCTCTAAAACGTATGCTCACACTTCCTTAAAACAGTTCCCGCTGAGGCTTGTATATATATATATATATATATATATATATATATATATATATATATATATATATATATATATATATATATATATATATATATATATCATCATACCTACATATACTTGCTCTTGTCTGTATAATCCAGCATCAAGAGGGTGTGTATAACCTAATACTCTTTTATGTATTTGCAAAATGTGTTCAAGATTAACTGGACCAGGTTCATTGATTAAAGTTACATTAATATATTTGAGTGCCAAATCCATTCCAAGTACTTCATTATGTTCTAAAATACTTTTGCCTCCAACTGCCATTCCTGTTTCTAAAATAGCTCTTGTCATTGATAAAGTCAAAGTATTACCTTCGATGCCATTTGTATGATATATATGCCTATAATATGCCTCAAGTTTTGCTCTATTTAAAGCAGCATTTCCTTCTGGAATTTCTGTTAGCGCAAGACGTTTTGATTCAATTCTTTGAAGCATCTCCATGTCTTTAGCTTTTACCTTAGATGAGCATCTGTTTTTGTTTTCTTTTGCACGAAGATGACCGGGGTAAATTACCAGAGCTAATGCATAATGATGATCAGCATCTATAATATCACGTGGTTCTATTACTTCTCCATATGCATTAAGAACATCAGGATTTCTAGGACTCAAAGATTTACAATGTTTTAATAGCTTGATAGCCTTTTCATTATCACCTTCATGATATAAACTAATAGCTTTTTGCATAATAATATTGGCTTCCAATGCAACTCCTAAATACAAAATTACTTCAAAATACTGAAACCTGGAGGCAACAACAATACCATATATTGATCTTTTTTTTATATATTTTAGGAAATTTTATAAATCACGATTAGGACCAATACAATTCATAACCTTAGAATTTTAAATTTTCAAAAAAGAAACTAGTTCGATAAAGTTAATAATTTAAACCTTCATTTTGAACATCCCTCTGTAATATTGTGTTAGCATCAAATACTTCATGTTTTTCATCAGTAATAGTTAGCAAAGCAAGAGAAGTTCTATTTGGATACTTGTTGTCATTTAACCAAAATATAATACGATAATACCCCACTTTCAGCATCACATAAGAAACTAATAGAAGAGAAAGTAATATAAAAACTACTAACGTTTTTCTCCATTTCATTTTCTCTGTTGTTTTTCATATCATAAGAACTTTTTAGTTTTATGAAATAAACTACTGTTAGAAACCCACATTTAATTATTCTTTGACCATATTTGTCTTTTTCAGATAGTTTGTTTTTTAAATTTTTTTATAAGTTGCTTTGCTTGTTATAAAAATCGGTAACCGGTAAATGTAAAAAAAATAAGACTAATTTATAATAAGACTTTTAGGACCTATACGCAGTTTTACGAGCTCGGTTTAGTCATGGAAGAATAAAACAGATGAAAGTTCAACCGCATTGAAAATCTTCGGGAATTCTTTTTGCTTGTAACCTTTTGTTTTGTAAACAATAAAAAAACGACATCAGACTATACTTAAACGCCTAATTTTTATACGTTGACGCAAATAGGTAAATAATAATTTAAAAATATATATTATTTTGAAGGTTCGCCAATAATATTCAAGAAAAACATTAAAAATGGCGCAACGAAACGGCAAACAACAACTTTTTTATAAACTTCATATTAAATGAATGAGTACTACAAGAATGAATTGAATTATGATATACAGCAAATGAAACTTTAAAGTTTAGTTGTTTAGAAAACAATTTTTTTGATTTTTTAAAAATTATTTTCTTTGTCTTTTTAATCAAATGTCGTGTTATGACTTGAAGCAAGAAAAGAAGCTTCAACTAACATATTCTTTTAAAGTCAAGTGGTTCTATTTAATTACCGAGTTTTAATAAACCTTTTGCTGAATAATTGCAACTACTAATGGTTAAAACTTTGCAGCATGTACTTAGAATAATTAATTTTTTGATGTTTTAATAAAAATCATTTGAGTGAATTTTATTGTTTTTTCTCCAGTGAAACTTTTTTTTTTTTTTTTTAATTGTCGGTTACAAGCATACTTCCGAGACGACTTGAATGTTTACGACTCAATGAACTTCCATCTGTTTTATACTTCCATGGTGTAGTTACGGTGATTTATAAATTATTCGAATTCTTTTATTTGAAAATGGCATGATTTTATCAGCGTATTATGTCCAAACAAGAGCTTTAGATGTTATAATTTTTTTCTCTTCAGTTTTTTTTAATGTTTAAAGAAACTTTTCTTTTTTATATATAATTTTCAAAACCTTTTTACTACCCCTAATAGTGAATCTAAAGAACACCATTTTGAAGTCTTTAGATCAATTTCAGGAAAGAAATTCACACCTCCTTTTTTACCGTGACGCGAAAATATGTCCAAGGTTCGTTTCAAACCTGGATCTCCTGCTTATAAAGCAAGTGCTCTAACCACTGCGCCACGACCACACATTCTATACTTTAGCAGCGCTGTAGCATTTGCTGAGTTAAATTTTATCTGAGCTTGAAAAACGAAACGGTCTTTAAACTCGCTTAAATGCACTTCAACCAAATAAAATTTATGTTCATTGTTTTAAATTTGGTGAACATCGAAGCAATGTCTGTAAACTGCAATGTCCAATTGTTTTTTAGCACAGTTGAAATGTTGTTTTTGCATCTTACGTCTAGTTTACCACAATTTTATACTCTCCAAGAGCGACAGAAACGTCTCTATGAATCAGCAGTAGATACTTGTAAAAAAAGTTCTGATACAAGATGGGCAAGTAGGAAGCATGCAGTTGATTCTATTGTTGAATCTTTTTCTGCTATTCTAGCCACTCTAGAAGATATAAATCTAGGATAATGCATAGAACATACAGGAAATGTTAGAGCAGAACCTATTGGACTATTTGTTTTAATAAAAAAAATATTATTTTGTCTTTCTGATGCTATTTCTGCAAAAGTTGTTAAATTCTTTTCGTATTATCAAACCATTTGCAATAAAAAGATTTAGACGTTTTATTTGATTGATGTTACAAATAAAAATTGTGTCAATATGTGAAGCCGTGGCGCAGTGGTTAGAGTTCTGGCTCAGAACCCAGAGGTCCCAGGTTCGACGCCAGTTCCAGCCCAACAAGCGACATTGGTACGGGAGGAGGCGTGAACTTCCTGCTAAATGCTCACCCGCGGTGCTCTATGATAAGACCGTAAGGACTTCTGGGAGCACCTAAATACATACAAAAAAAAAAAAAAAGTGAGGTTTTTGAAGTTCTACAGCAATCAAATCTTTTATTAGAGAAAAATGCGTCGAACTAGATGTAAAAACTGAATTCTTTTTTATTGGCAAGTTGCCAAAAAGAAACTAGCAAAAAGATAAACTTCTTTCTCAATGCTTACTTTTGCAATACGTTGAATAATAATATTCAACGTAATAATGTAATACATTTTTAAATAACCGAAATATTTCAGTAATACTCAATGTTTCTTATTTTTTAAAAGATTATTGTTAACTAAAATAAATTTAATCAACTTAATTTAGATTGTCTTGTATTTCTGAATTTAAAGCACCACACCTAACGCCGGTCGCCCTCACTTTATTCTCTTTAGGTTTTACGTATAAAAAGCCTATTAATACGTATTTTAAAAATCTTAATGTCTATCGCCCAATCGCGACGTTAGAATTATCTTGTTCTATCTCCACATTTTTTAGTTTTGAGATAAAACGATTTAAAAAACAAAAACTTTAGGAGATGGCCTATAAATTTTTTTTTATAACTGTTTTTTCCGCAACTTTTACTTATAACTTAGATTTCAATTCAGTAGAAAGACATTATTTTGAGGAACACAACACTATCATTAACTCAATTTTTTCAGAAAGTGGAGACGGACAAGATAATTCTAACGTTGCGCAATGTCACGAAGAGAATGTGCTAAATTTAACAAATCATTTTTAAAAGAGTAATTTTTTTGATGACAAAAAATATCAAAACATAGGTTTTTTAGGTTAAGAAATCCATTTCTCATATACAAAATGATATTTTATCAATCTAACCGGTTACGATCAGAAGTTTACCGGTTGATTTAATTAGTCTTTGATCGTAAACTTAGTATAAATTTTTTATTAAATGTAGTATATTAGTATGATTATTTTTTGTAAGTTGTAAATTTAATTTTACATGAAAAGCTGAGATTTATTTTTGGTTGATCACTTTTGATCCAACTATTTGATTTGGTTGATCACTTTTGAGCCAACTCCTTTTACATACAACATTTTTGTCGTTATCACTTGTATACAATTCAATACAGTTATATACATTATTATTTATTTATTTATTTGATCATTATGTTTTGTTGTTGAATAAATATTACAACCTAGATATTTACACCAAATTAATGACTGGAGCAAGAAGAAGATATTACTTTTGTCTTATCGCCGAGCACCGAGTCACAACTCATATTTTTTCCAAAATTTTTTCTAAGAGTTAAAAGTATAAAATATGATATACATATATGACATCTATTGTAATAGATGTTTACAAAAATATTGGTAATAATATAAGATCGTCTTAATTAATAGATAATACAATATATAAATTAGATAAAATAAAAAATAACCAAGCAAACAAAAACAAAAAAAGAAAAAAAAAGAAAAAGAAAAAGAAAGAACTTAAATATTATAATGATTATTGTCAGTAATCATTTAATTTTGTTTTTGAATTTACAAAGTAATTAAATTTAAGATTAAATTAATTACATTGTTTTTATTTGTGGTTTAAATGATTTTATTTTATTGATTCTTTTTTAATAAAACACTTAAAACAAGATTAAAAAAAATCTGTGTGTATAAATAAAAATCTGTCATTGTTTTGAGTTAATTTTAAACGAAGAGTAATATTCCTCTCGAAAACAATACTTGGGTATCTTTTCCACCAAACGGTCCACGATTCGGGATTGAATAAGAACTCAATTTTGAATAAAATTTTGCTACAATAAAACTGTTTATGGAAAGTTTTGTAACATATTTATGATGTATTTCTTCAAAATATTTTTTGACTGTTCACATTTTGTTATATATATATGAACTTTAAAACTAGATGGATGTTAAGTTTGAAGATATTTAAGGCAACGAGTGGTTTATATGTAACCGACTATCATTAAATGTAGAGAAAACAAAATTTATCCTATTGCATAAACCTAGTAAGCCGAGAATATTCCTCTTAAACTACCCAATCTTTTAATCAGTAATTAAATAATTAAAAGGGAATTGACTACAAACTTTCTGGGAGTGCTCTTAGATGAAAAATTGTCATGGAAATTTCATATTAAATAAATTGAAGGTAAGATCTCGAAAAATATTGCCATGTTATATCGAACAAAACCTTTTCTTAATAACAAGTCTTTAAAAAATTTATATTTTTCGTTTATACATCTTATACATATCTTTCATACTGTAACATTTCCTGGGGTAGCACTATCACACTAAACTCAAAAAAATTTATAGTAAACAAAAACACGCTTGCAGGATAGTATTTGGGGCAAATAGAAAAACACAATGCGAACCTCTCTTACGTCAACTTGGAGTTTTAAATATTTATAAGCTTAATATTCATCAAGTAATGTTATTTATGTAAAATGCAAAACTTGGGCTTTCTCCAGTAACATTTCAATCCTACTTTAATGAAATCTCCCATAAATATCCAACAAAATTTTCAGTGAATAACTTTGTGGTTCCCATAAATTAAGTTCGTACCAAATTCAATATCGGGGACCTTTAGTTTGGAAAAAATTTCTTCGAATCTTTAATAAAAAACAAAACTTCGTTTTAAACTGCACTTTGCAAAGTTTTAAGGATGATTCAAAACGGCATTTACTGAACATGGAATTCGATATATTAGATTTCAAATACCTTTTTTGAAAACAATTTAAAGGTTTAAATTAAATCACTTAAAAATAAATTAAATCTTTAAAACTTTCTTTAGCTTTTATTAAAATGGTTTCAAACCATTAGTATAAAAGATGACGAAAATAAAATTGTCTTTTTCGTTCATATTTTTGATGATATTAAATAATCAGCCCAAATACTTATGTTTACATATATTGCTTCTTTTTTTTTTTAAATTAAACAACGCATTTTTTTTGTGTTTTTATAACTTTCATGATTTTCTGTCGTTTTTACATTTTTATTTTTAAAATTATTCTGCTGGAAGATTGTTAGCAACTAATTATTTTATTGCTGAAGTTTTTTTAATAAAATAAAATAAAGTAATAACTGTATATTGTCGGAAAAATATTACTGTTGGGTGTTTATACACACTCAAAAAATCAGTATTTATATACATAAAATCGAGTATATATACTCAGTTCTATATACTCTGAACCAGTAGCTTAGCGAAGGGTCCACAGCAACGAGAAAGCCCAGAGGTATTAGGGGCCTAATCGAAATTTTACAATTTTTTTTTTAAAGTTGTTATTCATAAAAATAATGTGCATGTATATATTTATATATATATATATATATATATATATATATATATATATATATATATATATATATATATATATATATATATATATGTATATATATATAAATATATATATATATATATATATATATATATATATATATATATATATATATATAATATATATATATTTATATATTGCAAGTTTTTTTGTACCAAATAGAGATACAAAGCCTCTTTTATATATATATATATATATATATATATATATATATATATATATATATATATATATATATATATATATATATATATATATATATATATATATATATATACACATAGCACATATATATATATATATATATAAACACATAGCGATGCTTGCAATTTTTGCAACTTTTTTTCTAATTACTTTTTTAGCTTTTATAATAGTTTTGACTAATACTTCAAAAAGTACTTTTTATTTATTTAAATTTAAAAATTAAGACAAACTGTTATTAACTCATAAATATACAATTTAGTTAATTGGTAAGTATGATGTCGTAAGATTTTAAAGCAAACTGCAATAGTGAAGCTATTGTATTAAAAAATTAACTCATAAAAAAAATATAGTTAAGACGGACGTCGAGTGGGCAGTGTAGTTATCTTCATTACTGATGTATTTATCTCTCTTGAATTTGATTAGTTCATGAAACTTTTCTCAAACAAGCTTTGGTATCTGTAAAAGTTAACAATAAACACATACTTATCTAGGTTATGAGTAGACCAAACGATGCTAATTTAATATGATATATCGCTGAGTCCTTCAAATTGGCTCATAGCTTAATTAGGCCCTATGATGTTGCTTCACTGTTGGTAAATTTAACATATCACATTACCTACGTCCAAACACCCTATGTTTTCTCAAATCATATGTTGGACTTGTTATTTACCTACAGCAGTTATTCTATTTTAAAATTTTTTCCTTATGCAATTTTAGGTAATAATATTAAGGGCCGCTACAGTGTCACTTTAAGAATTTTAGTTTCAAACCTGTTTCCGAAAGTGAATTTCAGTTGTTTAGTTACAGCAGCTGATTACAATTCAATATCAAACTTTACTGCATTAATCAAATGGAACATTTTATTTCTACATAAAACCACGGATCAAATGTTTAATTTTCACAATTTCTAACGATTTACTGTTTTCGAATATTTTTCCCCATGGTTAAAAAAACAAATAAAAAGTATGATCCTTGGGTTACTCCACATATTAAAAACCTTATCCGAGAAAAAATATCCGCTTGGTATATCAACTGCTTAATTAAATGGAAGAATAACAAACTTAAAATAAACGGCTAACTTTTTGGTCGTTCTCTAAAAGCTGAAGTTTAAGCAAAAAGAGCACACAAAAAAGAAATAATATTAACATCCCTCTGAAGAATTTCCATCTGAATGAACTTATAATGGGTTTTTCTATTTCAGACATTATTAACTTACCAATCTAAATCCCTATAAAACTTTTTTTCATTTACAAAAATCTTTCATAAATTCTTTAATTCTGGAACACTACTCACTCTCTAAATATTATGAATTTTAGTTTGGTCTATTAAAAAACAGAAGATAAATTGCTGAAAACTCTCTACCTATTTCACTAAACTCTTTTTCCTGCAAAATAGTAAAAATACTTGTTAAGGACAAAATCTTTACGCATACTAACGATAATAAAATGCTCTCTGCAAATCAACATGACTTTCTTCATCATAAATTATGCGTGACTAATCTAATAAAGACTTTTGACATTATTTCATTGTCTAGAGTATTTCATCAAATTATTGATGTAATCTCGATATCGTCAAAGCAATGATTCTCTACCTCAATACAAACTTATGTTAAAATTAAAATAATCCGGAATAAATGGGAAACAAAATAAAAATCATAAATCAATCCCTAAAGTGCGTAATTTAGAAGTTATTATTTCATGTAACGCCAAGTGAAGCACACATTTTTGAATAGTTGTCAAAGTCTTTACAACTTCCTAGTATGCAAAAAGACATTCACTATCATTGATGAAAGTATGGTTTTAGATAAAGTATAATTTTTGTCAAGAAAACAGAAGGGAAGGGAAGAGGGTAGCCGAGAATTAATTAAGAGGCCCGGATTAAAATTTTGCGGGAGGCCTATTTTTTGTTGCTACGTTACTGCTCTGAACCCGGGCTCTCAAACTTTAGAGTTATTAATTTTTATTAAAACATTTTTATTAAACATTCATCACTCATTAACACCCAACATCCCTGAAGTCTATTTAAGTGCGAAACGGACATTATTCTATTAGGTTTGTTAGTTACTGCATTAATACTTTTTTTAACTCTCCCGGTCTCCTTGGCATCAGATAAACAGAGCATTTGGAAGTTTAAATTAATAAAAAGCAAAATTGCGATCTTGTATGACACAAGAAACTTCTACACACAAGAAAGCGAGAGTTCCGTTATTTAAAACAACTATTTTTAAAAAGTTGATAAATATAAAGCGATAACTAATAACTAATCGCAATTCAAATTTGGTTAAATCTTTTACTTTTACTGTTTTTACAGTGGCCCATTTGTGTAAAATACATAGGAAATTTGAAAGAAGTTTCATTAAAAGGTGTATCATAAAAAGGGGGTGAAGGCAACAAAGTCTGATTTCGGGCCCCTAACAATCTTGCACGTCACTATTACTTATAATTACGTCACTATTACTTTTACTTAAACTAGTAATTTCTCAGAATTTTGGAAGAAAAAAAAGTTTTTATTTATCTCTAATGCTGCGTGGCTTGCTGCGTAGACAATTTCGAAATGGCAGTTATACATAATGACACCTAAGACGCTATTATAACAAAATTTATATATTTTTTTGATACCTCTAGTTTATTATTACAACGATTTAAATTGGATAATGTTGCTTATATCGAAATATTTTTAAACAATAAAATTTCTTTATGAAAATATCAAGTTATAATTGTTTTTTCTTTAAAATTTAATAATAATAAGTATTAAATATTTGTTACAACAACATTATTAACATAAAACTAAAAAAGTTGCATATATTGAAGTATAAACATAACTTTTGACTTTGATGCAAAATTTTAAGCGCCTGCTAGTCTAGTAAAAAAAAATTTAGTCAGGTAATCAAAAGCTCTTGACTGGCGTCAAAAAAAAAACATCAACAACTTAAGTTAGTGTCAGTTTATTTGTAATCTTCAAATATCTAACTCTATGTTTATCAAAAATATAAAAAAATGACAATAAAGCACTTTCATAAATCAACAAATAATAAAGGTTGAAGTTCATTATTCTTTCATCTCATTATTGCTTGTCTTTAACGTCAATATAAGTTTTAGTCGACGAAAATTCATCTTTTTCTTAACAGCACAAATAACTGTTTCTGTAAACAAATAAAAAAGCAAGATTAATCTATAAACAACTTACTTTTTCAGCCTAAAAAATCGTAACTAAGTTTACTAAATATTTATCGATAAAGAAGCTGATTAAACGTTGGCAAACGCATGTAAAGTACATTTGCTCAGTACTTTATCACGCTGCGCAAAGTATGAAAAAAAAGTTCACAAAAAATGCAAAAAAAAAATAACATTGAAGAAAAAAACGAGCAAAAATTTAATGTTTATAACAAAGAGATAAGACTTTAAACCGTGTGATTATTTTACATCTTTGCTAACGAAGTTCTCTCTTCAAAGATGGAAGTAACTTATATTGTAACTTTTTAACGCTCAATTATTTTTTTAACAATAAAAAAAGGCGCGATAAACAAGCTCAATGAAATCAGGGCAATGGCGTTCTAACCGCTAATATATCTTCTTTAAAAAAAAGATTTTGATACAAATTTGATACAAATGTATTTTGAAGGACATTGTTTAGCAATGTGATCAAAAGTTTTGTTATCAAAATTTTTAAAATGGGAAGGGGCAAATTTTTACTTTAGCATATTATTATTACTAAGTAGTTATATTTGCTAGCAAATGTATCTGTAGTTTGTAAATTTAACTTTTCCGAAATCCATTTGTAGAAAAATTAATAAATAAAATAAAATGTTGTGTGAAATAAAATAATGATTTGAAATAAATAATAAAAAATAAATAAATGACGTGTAAGTTTAAAAATTTATTTCTTTTCATCTTACCCTGAATATCATATGCAAATATCTACTTTTTTTTACTTTTCAAATAACCACTATTTGTCACTCAAGAACATAAATGTCATCTTTAGTTATATAATATTTTATTCAAGTATTGCAAATACATGTGATGTTTAGTTATATAATATTCCGTAATCATTTCTAAGTAACCTTGTGTTATATAATGCACCAATGTGATCTAAGCAATTTTTAGTTCTTGCAAAAGATAAATAAAAAGTAATCTAAATTAAATATAAAAGAAACCGTCATCATAATCTACTTTATAATCTGCCAATCGGAAACACTCTTCTACTTTTTAATTGCATAACTTATAAAAATTTGAGTTATCATTCAACTAAGAAGTGCAATTTCGTGACAATTTTTAAAAGAAATATAGAATAGAATCGTAACCCATCGTCGCATAATAACGTTCTCAAAAAGAACTTCAATTAATTGAAAGTGTTATTAAAATTGCATTAAAAGTGTCTTCCTTTATTTTAATATAAGTTAGTCACCTATTTACTTTACAAATAGATTTTTAACTTAAATAAAAAAACGTATATATATATATATATATTTTTTAAATCAACTTTCGTTACTCGAATGCTAAGAAAGAAATCTTTTTAACATTCGAACAATGTGGTTGAAAGCCCGCTATTCCATTCATTATTTAAAATCTATTATTAGCATTTTTAGAGACCTCTTTACGATATTCTTTTTTACTAAACAAAAATATTCAATTAGGGTATCAAATTTCTAAAGTAAACATGATTTATCTCTAAAATACTTCAATTTTACCTTTGAATATCTTATTATATTGAATATATAATACATTTAAACATTTTTAATACTTTTTTTTTTTACTAAAAGATGTGATCTTGTCAAATTTCAATTTTTAGTTAAAAAGTGGTTTACACTTTTAGAACGTATTTTGTTAATTCATTACCTGATGGTGAAGTGTAGCGTATTACTATTGCGTACATATTTTACAATAGTAAATAGTTAAATTTTTTATTATGTAAATAAAGATTTTTAATTCTTTACATTGTATTTTACTATTTTTTACTCTACTTTGATTGGTTCGACATGTTTTTGTTTTGCAATAATACTTTTTCCTGGGTCCAAATATATACCGCGTGATTTTTAAAACAGACTCACCTTGATTTCCTCTTATAGTTCTGGAAGTATCAAAGAGTTCTTCATCAGATTGCTCTTGAAGTTTTGTTCTTAAAATTTTGCAAAAAGGAAGACAAAGTATACTCTCTGCAAGCTGGTAAATTCGTTTATTGCACTTTTTCTTTGCAGATGTATTTAAAGTGCTTTTATTTTCATTTCTTTTTTATTGCACTGTATTATTTATATAAATCGAAACATTATCTTTTTTTTTTTTTTTTTTTTTTTTTTTTGCTAACGAATTTGAATTGGTTTTAAAGTTTCACTTTTTTAAGACGAATTCCAAACATTAATAGCCGTTATTATTTGATTTAAAAGTTTAATTGATTAAAAGCATCAAAATTTATTTTGTTGACTGCATTCATAGAATATAAAATTTAAAAATATTGCCGACTACTTCTGATGGTTCTAACATTCATAATTACTTCTGCTGGTTCAAACTTATTAATTTTTTTTTGATTAGTCAAAATTTATTGAAATTTTAAAAACACTTGACATTTTTTAATACGGTCACTAATTAAATTTTAATTTAATTTCCTAATATAAAACATATTTTGTATCCTGTACTCTAAATTAGTGTCTTTTTAAAATTAACATTAATGACGGTTCTGTTAAATTTAAAAGATAAAAAAATTTCTTTCTATTAATTGCATTCTTTTGCTATACCAACTAACCCAATTTATTTTTGTATACTTTTAACAGTTGATGTTAACTTTTAAATTAAATAATTAGATTAATGCATTTTTTTAATTAGAGAAATTTTGAAAGTTTCAAATTTTGTCAACTGCGTGTTTGTGAATCCGATCATATAGACTTAATTGGAAAAGAGGGTACCTCGAGCAGGTGAAGCGCACAACTATGGTGCGCCTTGGTGGGCCGTCTAGAATTTTTTCAATTTTAGTCATAACTTCTTTGTTAGGTAAGAATTTTAAATCATTTTAAAAATGTCCAATTTTATATATGAAATATTAGGTGTGAGTGCACAAATATGGTTGGAGTAGATGTTTGGAGTGCAAAAATATATTTGAAGGGCAAAAATAAGGTTGCTTGCTAAAGTTAGTTTAATTTAGCAAAAAAAAAAAAAAAAAATCAAATAAATTATATCTAAAGTAATAGCTCTCTAATTCGAAAGACAGAATTTTGAAGAAATTTAGGACGTTTTTTTTAAGGGATGCAAATGTTGTTCAAAGTACGAAAATTTTTGAACATAACCCTTCTCCTTACGAAAATCCCTGGATCCGTCACTGCAAAAGTACTATTGCTTGTAGTCAAGCAATCTTTTAAAACTTATATATATTATAAATTAAAAAAATTTATTTAATAATTTATTTTTTAAAATAAAATATGCTTAGCAAGATTTTATATGTTATATAACTTAGTATAATATATCAATATCATAATATAACTTTAGTATAATGTACAATAATGTTCATTTAGTAAACATTATTAACCCCCATTTGCAAATTTGAAGAGCTTTTTTTTAGTAATACATAGAGGAAAATTTTGTAAGATTTTAAAAAATTTTCCTCTATGTATTACTAAAAAAGCCCGCGAAGTAAATTGTCCGGCCGGACGTTTTACTCCGGAGTAAATTGTTTTATCCGTCCGTATAGGACAATTTACTCCGGACAAATGTCCTACGTTTGGTCCTACTATTTTGCGAATTATTTACTTCGGAGTACTCAAGCAATGTCGTTTAACTTTTGGTAAAACAACGGTTTCGAAACTCGCGCTTATTTAATTATCTATTCTTGTGACAATAAAGTCTTTGAACTTATAATAAGTTTACATTGACATTTTTACAACAGTTCACTTGTAAAAAATTAGTCAAAATCTACAAATTCTTAAAAATTTAACACACACAAAATCTATTGCACCTAAAAAATATACTTGCACTTTTTCGCAGAACTATCACATTAGTTGTGTTGGGATGCAAATATTGTTTTCACGCTAAAAATCATTCCTTAAATTATATTCATATTTTATATGCTATAAAAAAAATATTAAAAAGAACAACTCTTGTAAAAAATGGAGAGTAGAGCAAGCAAGTAGCATATCAATATCACAATTTATTAACTTTAAATACTTTTACAATCTCTTAGGATTAAAAAAACAACCAGAAAGTTATTGTTATTTATTGATTTTCCAATTGTTTCGTGGTTATTTGGGCGATATTTGCAGTATGTTTTTCCAGTATAATTTAGATTCATTTGAAACTCTAAAATGAAAAAGTATTGTTTACTATTTTGCACTTATTTAAATAAAATAATTGGTTTTAATTTAAAATTAACTATTAATTATAATTGATTTTTATTTTGAAATTAATGTTAATTAAACAAAAATAAATAGGGAAAATGTGAACCCAACAATCCCTAGTAATTATACTTTTTATTTAATATATTTTTGTAGCTATTAAAAATCGAAATTAAATTTAAACCAAGAATTCAGTTATTGGAATAGAATAGTTTCAATAGACATAACACATAACACAATTAAATGAAAAATAAATAAGATCTTTAATGATGAATTTATTAGGTGTTCAGCAAATCTCTTTTGCACAACTGTCTTTATTTGTATTTAAGTATTAATTGTTCTAAAAAGGAAAGAAGGAGAAAATCAACATTAAGGAATTCATATACGAATGTAGTAAATTGTAGCCAATTATTAATATGTAAATTTTACAACCTTCTCATTATAAGGGAAAAATTTATAGTGTAATTAATGCTAAAGAATTAGTAAAATTCTTTTCCCAAAAAGATATAGATAAATATTAGCTCTTACCAATAAATAATAATTAACATAACATAAATTTTTCTTAAATATATGTAAATAAAAAATTAAAATTATCTAAAATATGAGGAAACAAAATAAAAATATCGAAAATATCACTTGGCTTGTTCAATATCAAGCGAAGTGCATTATTATATGCAACACATAGACAATGAAATAAGTCTTTTCTCCAAAGATACCATAACTGACATCCATATATTGGGCTGCAAAAGGCATTAAATAACATAATCTTTGTTTGTATTTGTGTAGAGCTGAACTTTCTACGGATCAGGTTCGCTTTAGCATACATAGAACGTACATATTTTAAGACATCTTTGTCATGCTGCATTTTGTTTGAGATCAAATGACCCAGGTATTTATATTGACAAGTGTATGTGAAAACATACACTTGTCAATATAAATACCTGGTGTAATGTCAAAATGTAAAAAGTGTATGTCAGATAAAGTGAAACAAGGGCTATTTACAAAGGGTTCATAAATTAAAAAAAAATATTATTTGAGACTTAGTACTGTTATAAACTATATCATGTTTCACAGTATAACTAGAGCATAAGTCAAGTAATATCTGGAGACCTTTGGCTGAGGGTGCACACAGTACAATATCATCAGCATAAAGAAGATGGTTAATAAGAGAAGAACCCATGCAGCAGCCTACGGTAGTTTTATTGAGTAGAACACTAAGATCTGTAATATATATATATTAAATAGAAAAGGAGACAGTACACCTCCTTGATGCACTCCATTATTGATATTAAATGTTTCAATAATATTCCACTCCATAGATGTTCACTCATGTTTGACCAGCATACCAGACAATGAGTAAGCGTAAAGTTGCACCAGAGATAATTTTTGATAGTTTCATAAATACACTATTTATGAAACTAATCGAACTCTATCAAAGGCCTTTCTAATGTCAATAAATGCCACATGCATATTTGAGCCATGTGACAGGTAAAAATTTAAAATATCTTTTAAAATAAGAACTGGCATAAAAGTGCTATGATGTTTCTTAAATCCGAGTTGATTGGGAGTCCCAGTGAAACTTTCATTGACATGTGAGACAAAAATATGTTCCAAACTGAAGTTAGAGCATTATCTCTAACTTCAGTTAGAGATAATGCTCAAAATGGTCAGGTGCTTTTCCACAGGTCATATGATTTATGATAGATTGGACTTCATCCGGAGTGACAATATAGGCATCATCCTTACGCAGATTACAGTGTTTAACTATAAAGGTGTCATTTATATTGCATGTTGGCTCTACTGAGTTAAACAGGGTGCAATAGTTATACCACTTGTGACATACATTATCAGGACCTGATAATGTATGTCAAGATCAGAGTCAATAGAAGGCAGAATACAACATTTATTGCTGCAAATACAAGTCATAGTAGACCAGAAATTAGTATAGTTTTTATTAGCTAAACTGTTTGTCAGCTTTCCTGCTTTTTTAGTATATATATATTTTTTTTGCAGCAATTGATAGCATATTTATGTAGGGCTCTTGCATTTTTGAAAAGATTAAAGATTGGGCCAAATTTTGGTTTTAAAAACCTAATTCCTATTTCAAGAAATGGTATAATAATTTATTTTCTCTTAATAAGATGAAAAACACAAGGTATTGTGCAATTTATGAGAGTCTTAATTATAAGAGTCTAAATTGCACAATATTCTATGATTTTCTTATTTTGGTCTTTAAATTAATGCCTAAGCATAGTGACCATTAATTGTCAAAAGTGTACAATTTTATGTTAAATCCATATTTGTAGTAAACAACTGGAGCTGATATTCTGCCGAAGCTGGAGTCATATTGGGGTTTATTTGGGTTTATGCTGAGTTTGTATAAATGTTGATACATTCTATCTCATTCAATGTCATCTGAATTAAAACTCATGTAAAAATCATGTAAACTGATTTTTCTAAAAGAAAAAGAGTATATTTCCTAAATACGATCATAAACCAAAAAAGCACCAGGTATTTATGTTAGTCAAAATTTTTTTTGACTGATAATATAAAGGCATCTAAAAAGTTTGGAAATACAAGTAAAACTGTGTGCAGCCAACATAACATGAAACTAATTTAAAGATTCTTTTCAGAATTTGTTGCTTTTTGTAAAAAATTTTTATTTCCTCATACAATTTTATGCATGTCAAATCTATGTTAACTTTTGAAACATCAAGTATACTTATTATCAAATAGCTTTTATTTTCAGTCCAATATTGACCTACTAAGCTAAACAAGTTTTTTGCATTAGTCTCTGGAATAGTAAATATAAATAAAACAAAAATTTTTAGCAGCTTGAGTTTTACTACTGTATTAGAATTGTTTATACCTTTTAAAACAGTTTTCTAACTAAAAATTAGAACATATAAATAATAAAGAACAGATTTGGCTTCCCAGCCTTCAG